ATTTCTATGCCATCAATATAGATTCCAACAATAGAAATTATGACTCACTTATGGAATTTGGGTGTTATAGAGTAAGCCAGTGGGGTGATAAACTTGCTATAATATTTTTAATGCAGTGCCCAAATAATATATAAGAGGGTACTTGTAGTTGTGTAGGATTTATTATTGTATACATTCAACTTAAGTCATATTGAATATTAAAATGTCTTTAAAAGAAACTTGAAATGAAAAAAAGACTCCAGTTTAAAAAAAACTTACAAAATCAGTTTACGAAAGCATTTAGTTACATCATAAACTGTTTTAACCGAGTCTAAACTAATTTTCACTAATTAAATACATTAGTGAAGTACATTAACTCACATAAATTTCCATAAGTATGAAATCGTGACACATCATTGAAGTATTCGCCAGAACTGCTATAATTATTTCCATCACTATCATGTGATATAATTGAAAAATCATCCCAGTAATTCATCACATAAGCCACTATTTCTTCACATATTTCTTTGGCCATCACTTGAGTGTCATACAAAACAAGGGATATTGCTCTAAAGAGATAAGCTCCATCGCTTATAATTGGAACAATGGAACATCATAACACCATTTATATTTAGTATTTCAACAACTATAGTAATTATTTAACTTATAACAATCTAAATATATAAAATTACTTGCGTTACATACCCCTTATTACTGAAAATATTTTAATGTTTCAAACGAATGTTTTCAATTTGATCAATTTTCTAGAACGTTTGCAATCGTTTTATAATTGAACCAATATGTAATAACAAATTCAAATTTAAAATGGTTCGAACATTTGGTTAAAAAATTGTAATACATAAATGTTGTAAGTTTGGAAATTAAATTATTACTATCAGAAACAAAAAAATCGCATCTAAAATAGTACAGTAGAAGCTGTTCTTCAGGTTAAGCCTTAATGCTATCCCTCTCCCCCCACAGAAATTTCGAAAAATCCCTTCTTAGCGTGAGTTTTTATGACGTACCCTAACTGTGTATCAAATTTTACCTCTTTAGGTTCAACAGTTTGCTCTGGGCAATGATGAATCAATCAGTCAATCACTCAGTCAGAACAAGTAATTTTATATATTTAGATTAAACAATGTTTTGTCATTATTCAAAAGTGTAGCACTTTGGATACATCTTCAAGTAATGTTCAACAATGAATTGGTATTTGTGTGTGGCAGAATCAACTCCAAGGACAGTCATCATAGACTATTCCTCAAGCTACATATCAGTGAAATGGAAACATGGGCTTATTTCTCAGGATCATATTTGCAACCACCAAAGTGGCTTCACAACTGACTCTTTCTTCAAATGTGCAATTCTAACACATCATGCAATTGTACTGGTCACACCTTACGTGCAGACAACTGCAACAGCAATGGCTGTTCCCAATAACTAATAAGCCTCTTCTGAAAACCTGGGAACAAAAAGTTTGTTCTATTTGCACTGATTGCAAATGTGCATCCAATCTGCAAATGCCTCTGTGCCATGTCTTTCATGTCTTTTGACAATAACTATTTTCAAAGTGGCAACTTTGAAAATAGTTATTGTCATGACAGAGAGAAAATACCAATACAGCTTTAAAATAGAGATTGTTCAAGCTGATTCTGACTCACAAATGCATGTAGAATTTTAGTTCTTCATTTTATCACAGAAATGATAAAAGAGTACTGGCATTGCATGAGACAAGTGAATGTCTCAGCATTGATTGAAGTACAAGTAGCCCTCGGTTTATGCTGGCTCAATTTATGCCAATTCACAATAACGCCGCTACACAATTTGACGTTTCGCGGTGTAATTCCCTGATTTTCCCTATGCCAGACTGATTTTCATTTCATTGTTGACGTATTTACCAAGCCACGACATTGTACATTCATTAAAACAAAGATTTTTATTGAATATATTTAGTTTTTCTGTTTAATATTATTGCGTATGTATACATTTGCATTAAATTAATATTAAAACACTAAATGTTTAGGTACCCACGAGTCAAGTTATCAAACTTAACAGTCCAATAAATGGCGTCTGAATCCATAGCGTCAATGAATGTATCCAGTATCAGTTCATTTAGGAAAACACCTTACGATGCAGTAGCATTTCCGGTGATCACAAACTATCGTTAGTGAGACAAATCTACTTCTCATTGGCCAACGATATCTATCTCTCCTTAGCCACCTTGAATTTCCCACTCAAACTGACCTTATATGTGTGCTACGGTGACTGGTGGTCGACCAATCAGTGTCTCCGCTTGTCCATAGCTCTACGTCGGGTTAACGTATCCTTTCAACTATGGAAAGTTTGACAGATGAACTTTGTGAGTTAGACAATGATTGGGAGCGAAGTGCAAATGTAAAAAGAAGCATCATTGCATCTATTTGATCATATTCCGAAATTCTCAATGAAAGAAAACAAAAATGTAAACAATTAAAGATGGATATTTTTTTCCGATAAAATGTAAGAGATCCGAAACTAAAATTTTTAATAAAAACATTTCACTTTATTTTATGATAAAATACATTTTAAAAATAAAAAATTTATATGTATTTTGTATTATATTGTATTAATAATCAAAATTATTTGCTTATTTTTCACTTATGTAGAACCTAACCTTATACCTCACTGTAAATATGGGTTCGTTTTACACCAATTTGATTTGCGCCGGCTTTTGTAGGAATGGAACTGCGGTGTAAACTGAGGGCTACCTGTACCATTTTATAGATTTCTGGTATAAAATGTTGATTATTTTTAGTTTAGTAATGACAATATTACTTTAAATATAGCAAAAGAACTAAGTAAAAAGTACTATCATTTGCAAATGACATTCCTTCACATAAAAAAGTAAAAGATATCAGGAAAAGCAGGTATTGGTTCATTATAAGGTCACATGCTTGAGATGCAATGCCTACAATGTGATGATGACAAGACATATGCAACTAATGCTTCCTGTAGTTGCAGTTGTCTGTGCAGCTGAAAATTGCAAGGTGTGACCACTGGGTTTGGCACCTCCCTGAAACCAGAAACCATAAACAACAAATTTAATGTTTTACAACCATCACACACTCAAACTTTGCATACCAAAGGACATGCTTAGCACGTTTCTCCATGGTCAGTGACATTTTTACTTCCATGCACTTAAAGCTAGAACTTCTTTAAATAAGTTTCACAAAACATTTCACTCTTTTTCCAGCAGTTTATTTAGTGCATTAGATAGAAGAACAAACTTATCTTATTGGCAAAGTCATTTATTTGTTTTATTGTTAAACCAATTCCCCACCCAGTATTACTTTACTCTAACCATTGGCTTTGAAACTACTATTGTATGATATATATATAAAAAATTAGTAAGGGAAAAAACCATGTAACTTTTGCTCGTCATCTGAATTGCAGCACTGCAAAACTACATTATACATGTAACATTACATTAGATTTTGAATAAGTTTAATGCAATTGCTGTATTTGAAAATATAGTATTTATAGTTCATGAAACTTTAAATGCACAGTGCCTGATATACCTAAAATACAAAAACAAATGCGTTTCTGGATTATCTGAAAAACAAGTTCAGATAACTGAGTTTCCATTGTATGTATTTATGTACAAGAAACCATATTAAAAATGCATACACTTTAAACCAAACTCTAGATATACTCATCACTAATAAAGCATCAACCACTGCAATACAACATAAGGCTAAATATCGGGTATATTTATTATAGTGTATTGGGTTTCATGGCAATGCTTATATTTGTACTTAGCACTAACAAAAATTATATAATTTGTCAATGAATACTTATTTAATATTAAGCAACAAAAATGTGAAAAATGTGCTCCAGAACAGCAATAAGATCTTCAATACCGATACGCAAAAATAAATAATTAGGAAAAATATGACTATTCAATTGTATCAATTCATACAATTTCTTAAAATACATGGTTCCTGTCACAAATGTTTAATACAATCCTTTAAAAAAGTTCTATTAGCATACTTTAAAACCTATATTTAAAGTTACATACTTCATATTTTTTAAAATTGAAACTGGAAGAACTCGACATCCACACGAGCATCTTCACACTCCATTTTTGGAGCACGCCCCATAGTTTGAACACCGTCGGCATAAACAATAGAAACGAGGCTCCCAATCCAACTTTTTGCATAATTTCAGAGTACGAATCAAATTTCTCTACATTAAGCGAGTACATTATCACAATCTATTCATTCAACATAATCAAAAACTAGATCCCACACAAAATCAAAAAGATTGATAAAAGTTATTTTTAGACACTGCACACACACATTTATCTAAAAATAGCTTCTACATCAAATGAATAAATTCAACGTTAAATACAAGAAAAAAGAAAGTTTGTTTGTTTGCTCATGTTTTTTTGGCATAAGAGCCACACAGGTTACATATGATATGCCATACCAAATAATATGTATGCATACAAATATATGTACAAAATATAACAATAAAATGGAATATAAACAAATATATTTATTATTATTTCTCATAACAGAGAAAACAATTCGCCAAATCCAAGCTCCATTTAAAAAAATAGGGGAAAAATAACTGGGAATTGTGAGAAAACTTCGGTTCAACAGACTCAAACCTTTGACGATAGCAGCTTTAAAAGGCCGCAATTCATCGTAAACACAAAGAAATTTCGGCATTTTACGCAGTTTTAGCACGGATCCATCTACATACGAATTATATTCACCTTCACAAACACAATACGAAACCCGATTTTCGTCTGCACTTTTCAATATAAACACCTTTGTTATTTATTTCTGACTAAACTCTAACTTTAATTTGATTAATCGCTCGATAATCATCATTTGTATAGTTAATTGCGGTGTAAATTAGATAAATCAGATTGTTCGTCCGAAACGAGATGCAGACGACAAAATGATTCAGCACATACGTTAAGCCTAGTTAGGCTTATCGCTCGTACTTTAAAACCCACGTAAAATTTTACTTACCTCGATTGCGTTTAACAATCTTTGACAGACGGCTAAATTGGGGGGTGTTTTATTCCATTCCGCAAATAATTTTTGATAAGTGGGAACAATCGTTTCCTTCAAGAACGATCTACCCGAAGTACCCATTTTGAACTGATTGACCGATTTTAGTTTATCCATTTCTCGCCAGAGTTCACTACGTCAATCGACCAATAGAAATTAAATTTTCCGTGACGTTTTTTAAATCTCGGAGGAGCGTTCGGATATTGCTCTAATTTGATCTTTAAACTAAATATTTAAATAGATTTATTAATTCGATAGAAATTAATTATTTAAATTCAGTTTAATGTATTAATTTTATTTTAAATTTGATGTATTTTTAATATATTTATTACGGTGCCGATGGATTAGCGAGTGTAATATTCCGAACGCTCGAGTGCACTATTCTACGCGTGAAACCATTTGTAATTGATTGAAAATGTTAGAAATGGATATTTTAGATTCTTTGGAAGATTTAGGGTGAGTGCTTATTCCAGTTTTAGTTTGTTTATAAGTGTTTTACTTGATTTATACGTGTGGTTAGTCGTAAACGGATACTCGATCAGACCACGTGGTTATTCACATGTAAATTGTATACATCGAGAAGCGCGTAAATAAAATATCGATACGACTCTAACCCAGAAACTCGTTCTCCGACATGAAACTTTGAAATTTAGAGAATACATTCTGTGTATTAAGGCTTTTTAAATGTATAAGACAATGTTCACAATATTTTAATGCTGTAATATAATTTACTGTTCGGCAAAAAAATTAAAAAAAAGTGTTAAAGCAAACCAATGTAAAGTTGCATCATGCTCTGATTTTCATTTATTTCACTTTTATCAGTGTAACTATTACAAAATATTCCAATTTTGTTGATTATTTATTCATTTTTTCATTATTTTGATTAAATTTTGTTAAATATGTCAATCTGTGTACATTTTCCAATAAATTGGATACATGATATTGCATTTGATGGAGTGAACGGTCGAGATAAGATTTAAACATTCTGGATTCGAAGCCAGCTCTGTCAAATATGGAATATAAAAAATTTTGTTTGTAAGGTTTTTTTAAATAAAATAAACTATTTATTTGTTTTAAGACATTTAAATCTATTTTTGAAAGTCAAAAGTTGTGACAATATCTTGAAATGATGTAATCTTTTTTTTTTTGATTGATTTCAAGTTTGGTATCTCAGTGGTAACAGCTTTTATATTCCCTATGATTTAATGACAAGAACCAAAACATTAAGTTAAAAATAAATTCTAAAGCAGGGGTCGTCAAAGTGGTCGCTATCGACCCCCAGGGGTTGATTATCAAGCTTGCGCTAAGGATAAGGGGGAGCTAAGGATCAAGCTTATTTGTCTCACTGATTGTTAGTTACAAAAATTATTATTAACAAATATACAATAAATGAAAAAATGAAAGATTAAAAGAAATGTAGACTATTAAAATAGTAAGTGCTTTCTTTGCTTGTAACACAAACTTTTTGGTGGGGGTCGATGTAAGGTTTCAAAAACATGTAGGGGATCGACGATCAAAAAAGTTTGGCGACCCTTGATCTAAATGATGAAAGAATTTTGACTAGTTTTTATTTTAGTTTTTATTTCACAAAAATGATGAACAGACAAGACAGTCTTGCTGGTAGATTGGTGTTAAGATCATCTAAAGCAGGGATGGGCAACCTGCAGCTTGCATTAATATTTTTTGTGGCTTGCAATGCATAAAATATGAATAAATATATCAATTTCCAGCTTAAGGAAGTAGCCAGCAAAAATTCAAATGTTATTTTCTACAACTAGTTTTTCTGCAATAAATTTAGTAAAAATTAATGCAAGAAACCAGCTAACAGACACATCGAAACTAATTTAAAATTAGCAGTGATTAATATTTAACCAAATATTTCCAATATATTACATTTACATCAGTTCCAGAAGCTAAGTTAAGTATACCTATGCTAATTTATAATTATATATGAATACATAATTGTGATTTACCAGCATTTTTTTTCACTTTTCTCTTGTGTGCAGTCTGCGTCAGTTCAAAAGTTTTGAAATGCGACCCTTACATAGAAAAAGATTGCCCATCCCTGATCTAAAGGGTTCGGTGTAATCCTAAATTGTCAACAGTTTGGTAAAAATGAATACAGTGTACTCTTACATAGTGAACAAAATGTTTTGAATTAAATGGGATTCAGATTAGTAAGAGATCACTGTAATTATGGTAAAGAATATTCCTAGTAGATAGAAATTTTATTATGCTAATATTACCTACATTCCAGTATGCATCAGTCTTAGCCACAATCAATACACTGGTGAATAGTTTAATAAGCTTTTACCAGAATATCTGGTAACTGAAGAAGACGGAGGAAGTAAACAGTGCTATGTTGGCATTTTTAGACTTATTTTGCGAAAATAACTTTGGGTTAATTCAGATGAGTTGTATAAATGTTGTTAATGATATAATTGTGGAGTGAACATACTGCTTCATCAGAGCTCACCATATCCATAACCCGAATAGTGCAATGTATATCCAACAAATTCATTGGTGAATGTCGGAACACATTTTAGTACATTGCAGTCCACCGATGTGCTATCTGATACATGTTGGAATGTACCTATTTAAAGAATATCAGCTTTATTATTACTTTTTCCTTACAATTATTCTCTCTTTTTTCTTTTAATTTAAAAAAATTATAAATAAAGTAGATTTTATCAAAGATGAAGGAGGGAAAAAATGGAAATTTAGATTTGTTATTGCATTTATTAGAAAAATGAAAACATTTATATACTTCAATCATTCAATGACAAATATATTCCATGTTCAATCTAGAATTTGTTTTTAAAAAATATGAATGAGATGTATTTATTCTGAATCACTTTTTTGTTGTCAGAAATCATACAGCTTGATAATTGCTTGATTCATTATATCAATATTTCAGTTTTGATTCTAAAACTGAAAACCTGATTTCATAATAATAATAATTGAATGATAGAGTCTGATTAACTATTAGTGCTAGAATCTGACTAATTAATTACGCAGATATTACATAATTCGGACTAAAAGTAGACAGTTAAGCCATTTTTATTATATTTAATAATTTACAAATATATAAAATAATAAATTAATGAAGACTATTCTGGAAGAAAAGATCACCTGAAGAGAATCTTAAACCTGTAACTTTTACTTAGTATGTAGATACATTGCCTTTTATACTACCCAGACCATGAGATTAAAACTTTCTGTTTAAATATATATGAAGAAATATATAATTACAATTCTATATAGAATATGTAAATATGCATTTAAATACTGAAATTTAATTTAACTTGCATTATTCTTTAGTATTAGTATGTATTAGTAGTAATGTTCATGAAATTGTGTAAATATTGATATTATTAGAAAAAGTACAGAATAGTGAAGTCACAGACCATCTGAATATCGAAGAGGGATTGAAACTGTTAATGTTTATTATCAAATGTCGACAGTTTGAGAAAAGAAATTTGTGTAAGATTTGTTAAATGACTGCATGTTACCTACTTACCACTAAAAGAAATTTGAGTCCATTCTGGACCTTCTTGAATTTTTATTATTAAAAGTGGTTATAATTTACTCTTCTTTTCAAATGCTGGCCGATTCTATCGGTCAGGTTTGTCCACAATATGAGTAATCCATCTGTAGTGTGTCAGTGCTTCTTGTTAACAAATTCAATATGCATAAGTGAAAGTTGGCATGAAAATTGAAAGTGGATGCTAATTTTCACATCTCATTTCATCAAAAACATAAATCAAGAGATTTGATAAAAATATAAATTATCGTTATTATAATAATTTTCAACATCATATGAATGTCAAATTTAAGAAATGTCAATTGATGTTAACAGTGTTGATATTTTAATTTTATTAAAGGTACAAGATAAAGATAGACGAGAATGCTCTAAAAGAATATGTCGAGAAAGGGCCAAAATGTATTGAATACACTCAACTGGTAGAATGGTTATCCAAAGAATTACAATCATTATGTAATTTGGAAGATTCTGTAAATTCTATATTAGGTTAGTTATAAATTATAATTTTAATTTACTTATTATAATTAAATGATTTGCATACTATAATTATAGAAACATTTATTGTTTCATAGACAATTAAATAATAATTTCAATTTCAGATCCAGAAGATTCTAGTTCTTTTCTTTTAGAAGCAAGTTCTTTTTTAAAAGAATTAAGTGAGTATATATAATGACAATTTTAATTATTAATTGAATAATAGATAATTTATTGTAAAATAACATGTCATAGTCATTTTTGACTTTGAGTAAATGATAAATATTGAAATTAAAAATCTCTTGAACAATGAAATGCATTGATTTGAAACTAGAAATAACTTTAATGATGTTATATTGACAGTTTACGTTGTTACGTCACTTGATCCAATTTTATCTGTATCATTTGATTGAATTTTCCTGAAGATATTTTGTCCTACAGGTAACCTTATGCGATAAATAGACATTGGAAATACTCCTTAAAATATGTAAAGCAAGGGCTAAATTAGATTTTCTTACTCAGTGCTGCCTCAATGGAGCATTTCCAATGAAGATATTTTGTTGTTGGTATAATAATAATAATAATAATAATAATTCCATGTATAAGTGTCATTAGATGATCTTACTTGGCTTGTTTTTTGCATTCAGTTTCTCTATTCTTAAAATCTCCCAATTCATCAATATTTTCAGTTTTACTTTCATCTACTATTGATGTGTCCAAACAAACTTTTTCTTCATTGTACTTTAATACAGATTGACTAAACTTGACGAATAAGTGGTTGAGGTGATTAATGCATTGACCTATTACTCTGGGGACCCTGGATGAGTAGCTCCAGGAAATTTTTGGGAGTGATTCATTCCACATATGTTGTATCTTGTCACTCACCACTTGATAATCCCATTCTGTTCCTGGCTGAACCCATGATGGATATGGAGAAAGACTCCCTTAGTGCCTGCAGGGTAGAAAGAGTTTTTAAAAAAAATTCATTATAATATTGTATATTGAATTAGTTTTTCATTGCTTGAAGCCTTCTGGTGGTTCTTTCAAGTATTCATAACTATTTGCATAAACTACATCACCCAAGATTAACATCTTTTTCGAAGCATTAGAAGACTTATACTGAAAAAACATAATTTTTTGGGGTCTTTTCTTTACATCCTTTTACAGTCCATCTCGGAGGCAACGGCAAAAACAGCTCGAAGATATAACAAACTCTTTATTAAAAATATCAATTATAGATTATTAAAAAATTCCAAAAATTAAGAATGATCAAAACATTGACCTTTTATTGTAGGATTTTTCATATTAAATAAAAGTTGTCGACAGTTGTACAATAATTAGTTTATCACAGTTTTTACTTTTGGATTGATGATAACTCGTCTGTTGCATCTTTTAATTGGTCTCGATGCAGATCTTAATCATTCATTTACTTGTTTATTGTCTAAAATATAATTTTTGTATACTGCCAATAAACCTATGAAAAATTCTGTAGTTTGTAAAGTTCAGAATTGCTCATCATTGTGCAACAAGAAAAATCTGCAGTAGAATCGTGGCTGCCATGGGAGAAGTGACAACAGATATACTGTAGCGAATTTAGGAAGAATTTAAATATCGATTGGATGTATGCCGTGTGATACATGAACGCATTTAGAAATTGTAATAGGCAAATGTGAAGCAGTTTTCCAATATTTTAATATACATTATGATGCTGTCAAATAATTAACATAATTATAATAATTTAAAATGGTAGCATTCATTTTGGAGAACCCTATATTTAAATTTTTTTAGTTGATATCTTTTTTTTTTTATAAGTATATTTATATGGAAGGGAAATCACACTTAACCAATGTTAAAAATATGTATTTATAAAAAAATTGTTAATAATAATAATTGTAATTTTTAATAAATACATGTTTTTAACATAGGTTGTGTGATTTCTCTTCCATATATATCATTCCAAGGGTGAAGTGAATATTCTTTTTGTCTATTATAAGTATATTTATTTTAAAATTATGAAATACTTTAAAGAATATTTGAATTTTATAACAGATTGTCCATATAAATCATTAACGGAAGGTCCGGTAAATCAGAGATTAGATAACGAACAACAAAGATTATTACTTCTAGGTAATCACGTTTTTTATTTATTGAAAAAAATTAAATTTTAATATATTAAAATCAGTTTAAAAAATTTAATTTTTGATAAATCTATTTTTTTTTAATCAAGTTTTTAATTATTTCCAGATTACTTATGTACAGAATTACAAGCTGCTAGAATCATTTCTGTTCAGAAGAATGAGAAAAAAACAGGAATGGAAATTGAAATTGTATATGAATTTTTTAAATTAATAATTTATGTATTAGTTAAATTAATTTCCAAATCTGGTAAATTGAGAACAATATCTTAACATACTCCAAAATGGCAATTGTTTGTGTGTTAAGATATTGTTCTAGTTTTCTAGATTGCAAGTTCAAATTCCATTTTTGACCTAAGTATTTATGTTTGTTAGTTTCTATGAAGATTTTCGTTAGTTTGGGGAAGTATGCTTTCCCAAACAAACAATAATCTTAATTAATGGTCTAAACAAAGCATACAGTTGTCTTGTAGTTAGTGGTGTTGTACATATTTATGCTGTAAATAAAGTAATTTTTGTTATAAGGGTACTGGATTATCAAATAAAAAGTTTATTTGTTAGAAGTAGACTTGCAACAACATGGGTTAGCCAAACTTGTTACTTCCGTGTTATAATTCAGCAGCTTAGGTATGCCCATTGGTGGCATTTTTCCAACTCTCTTGGACTTGGAGAAGCAGTAGGTAGAAAGAAAGCTAGGTTAAAGTGTGCATTTATTAGTAGCAAATTTAGCACAAGATTTGATTTGTCTTTTTTATTATACAGACATTTTACTGTACTGGGAATTGTGTAAAATTTTCTTGGGTAAAAGGGGGTTGCAAATGGAAAAAGTTTATGAAGTCTCAATTTAAAATATTTTTAGCTGTTCCTGTACATGCTAAGAACCTTACAAGAAAGTAAGGTTCTTAGCGTGTACAGGAACAGTGTATAATTTGTCTCGAGACAAGACGAGTAAATTTTTTCCTTCTATATAAACTGTGACAATTTTTACTTACAAGCCAGCCAATGTTCCTGTATACAGTCTTTATAAAATTCTACATTGTTTAGCAATGGCTGCAGTTGTTGACGTAGAAGAATTTATTCTAGTTTAATCATGTAAGAAACCAAGTCTAATCATAATATTAATCGTGTAATCAAGCCAAATTTATTATCTGGTTACATTTTGGCTAATTAAACATACAAATGCTACATAATTTGGACTAAAGGTAGGTGATTAAGTTGCCATCATGTATTAAATTTAATAATTAGAATTTTCTGGAAGAAAAAATTGATCCGGAGCCAGACTTGAACCTGTAACTCTTGCTTACTGTAAAATTGCATTTTCGATTATGCTACCCGGATCTCCGGTTCTTAATTGGTCCAGAAAAGAAGATTGGATAAAGGGTCCAGGTAGCATAATTGGTAAAATATAGTTGCTTGTGTAAAGTTTTGTTTTTTAATAATATGTGGATTAACTTGATTATATAAATAGTTTAAAATATTATTTTTATGAATATTAAATTAACAAAAAACTCACTAATTGTATTAATGACATAAATAATATAGGAAAGCAACACTGCTTCCGATCTGAAGACCATTCTTGATGTATTTGATGTAAATTTGCCCATAGAAAATGTTAATAATCAAGAACTGTTTGACAGTTTAGAAATTAAGGTGAGATATTAAAATATAAAGCCTTTTAGAAAAATAAATTAATTTTTAACATACAAATTGAAAATTGAATAATAGGTAAAAGAGTGTTTATCGAGAATTAACAAGGACAGTCTCAGCATTTCTCTATTAAATGACGAACTAACGAGGGATCAATGGTCGAAATTGCAAGATTTACAAGAAGAACTGCATAAAGAGTTTTATACAAGGCGCGAAATGCTGTTAAAAAGATTAGATGTCACTGTCCAGTCCTGTAAATGGGGCGAAAGATTAAAGGTAAGCTACTTTTTCTATTGATACTTTTTTGCTTTAATTCTGTTTTCTGAAAAATGTTTTGACAATAAAACATATTAAAATATTGTTTTTGGCTTGCTGATTTTAGTATATGAATTACAATTCTTAATCAAATTAAAATTTCTATTTGGAATTTAATTTGGATTCTGCAATAGATGCATTTAATGGCTTTTAACATCGATTATTCTTTATTTTCAAGCCTTAACTGTTCAAATTTCTTAGAAAGTTTGTTAAATGATAATGAAATATTTTAGAAACTAACATTTTATTATTTGTAAATATGAATAAACTGCTTTTAAAATGTTATCATGCCATTCAAATATGTACACCTTGCTCACTCTTCCTGCAGAGTGTTGTGCTATTTATGAATGTTTTTGGCTTGTTTGAACTTTGATTGTTAAAGCAGGCTTTGCAAAAAAGCTGACAACATTCATAAATAGCATAGCTTACTGCTGGAAAAGTGAGCAAGGTGTTGCCTATTTGAATAGTTACCTCAGTTTCAGTTTGGATAACTCATATTCATATAACTATTCATATATAACTCATATATACGAATAGTTAAGAAATACCAGACAATAAAGGTTTAGTAAGTACGATTTTATAACTCGTATTGTTATCATGCCATTTATGCATAATATTTTAGTTAGAAAAGGACAAATGTAAGTCTCAATTAAAACTTCTTCCAAAACTTCAGACTATGAGGCGTTAAATATAATTAAATTATTTTATTCTTGCGAGCGCTTTCGACGTAAATATGCACGTCGTCTTCAGGCAATTCAAAAACGAATAGAGAATTCGAACCATACATTTAAATTTAAACATTAACGATATTAGCCGTTTTTTGAATGTAACTATTATAAATAAAATTTAAATTTTAGAACTAAAAACATTTTAAAATATTTAAAATTGGTACGCATGCGTTTTAAATCTTATTTATAATAGTTACATTCAAAAAACGGCTAATATCGTTAATGTTTAAATTTAAATGTATGGTTCGAATTCTCTATTCGTTTTTGAATTGCCTGAAGACGACGTGCATATTTACGTCGAAAGCGCTCGCAAGAATAAAATATTTTAATTATATTTAACGCCTCATAGTCTGAAGTTTTGGAAGAAGTTTTAATTGAGATAACTGTTGGCGTGACATCCAACCCCAGTACTTAATACTCCTAACAAAATGTAAGTCTTTAATTTAGAAGTGACTAATGATTTAAAGTACACTTGATATATCATAAACTTATTTACTTGAATATAAGATGCCATCGAATTGAAGATGCATCTTTCTATGTGCTTTGTTTTTGAAAGATAGATAACACAAGACAAGTTTATGTCAATAGAACCAATTCTGTCAACATAAATTTGCTTGGTATCTATTGCAAGTAAAGTAAGTTATATATTACTGTTTTGGTAGTCCAAATGCTTGTGGTTCTGGACAGCTGGATCTGCAAAAAGACAAGATCATTCACATAACTGTTCAGTACAAGACACCAACACTTTGTACAATCAATAAGAAAATTTACATATGAGAGTTGAGTCAATGATATTTTAAGAAATTAATCATTTTTTGATTTTTTTACTGTAAATTCAAACATGTTGAAGAATATAAAATGGTCATATATTAGAAAAAACAATTTATGATATTTGTATAAATGAAACAAATGCCTAGCACAATTAACCTTACACATTTGGTACTAATTATTAAAATGTCTTAGTAATATTAGCAGTATTTATGTTATATCTAAGAGAAATACAACACCATACAAATAAAATATCTATCACAGAAGTAAGATTTTATTTGTACTTCATCCATATACATTTCATTTCCACCCTCTATGTCATTTTAAAACACGATGTCAGAACACTTTTACTCAATTGGACAATTTTCACTTACTAGTCTGGCAACTGACAGAAAAGTCAAGTTAGACAAATCTATTTTCATCTTATTACTTACCATGTTACTGTAATTGACTAACGAGATTGAGCTAAGTTGACCTCTTAAATATTTGCTATTACAAATACTAGTCTAATAGTCATTAAAATGATGCAATGGAAGTAGTGACTTATAATGACAAAGGATTGCTTCTTACGACATAATATGCCAAATTTAAGATACATCATATTTTCAGAGAAAGCAACACCTGAAAAAGTGCATCTTACATTCAGTAAATTAAGATGCAAAGTTAAACAAATCATTTGAATTTTGTTTTATTTTTATTTGAGATAACTTTATTTAGTAAAACCTGCAAAAGTCAGAACCCAAGTAAGGCAGAAACCTTCCAGAGCTGGAAAATTCAAATATTTTTCAGTAAAAATGATTACATTAACTTAATAAGTGTTATAAAAGAGCTTCTTGTCTCGAAAATTGTTGAAACTAATATCTCAAATACTATAGTAGAGATAACAGACTTATCACACAGCTACCAGTAATATCAAAATGACACTTTTATTATAAGTTAAGTATCAATAAAGTTGCATTTTGATGATAGAAGTGTCATTTTGATGTTACCAGTAGCAGTGTGATAAGTCTATTATTTCTACTATAGAATTTGAGATATTAGTTTCAACTAATAAATGTTCTATGAAAGTAAGAATCTGTGAGATGTGGATAGAATTAAAGAAATCATGCTACTGCAACCCAAATATGGCAGAAGTATAGATGCAAAAGCCAGAAACTTTTGCATTCTGTATTTTTGCATTACAATAAAATTAATATGAAAATAAGCTTAACAGTTACTTTCAATAATAACAAGTGAATGTAAAAAACAAAACAAAAGAGGGAAGCTATACTAACAATAAATGAAATAGAATTAGCCAAAGTTAGTTTTTATCAGATGAATGAAGGGGAGAAATCACATATGGATACAGTGGCGTGCCGTGACATTTGATGATAGGGAAGCTGTTATTGTAAGAAGCCAACTTCCAGGGGCAATCAGTTAATTATGCGTCAGTGATGGTCTAGGGTCCATTCGTGTTCGTTTGATAAGTTAGTAAAAACCATAGACTTCTCTAAATGTATTTTTAATATCATAATTACATTCTGAATCACTAGCCACGATATAAGGGCTAAAATTATAAATAACATAATAAAAACTTACTCGGTGAAATAAAATGTGTGGTGGATGTACAGTACATACCTGGTACAAAATATTCTTCAATTTTATGAATATACTTTTAAAGAAAATTATAATTAAATATACGAGGTCTGTTCAAAAAATATACAGACTGTTTGAATTGTGCGGCTCCAGTTGGTTTGTTACAGTTGCGTTAGGTTTGTACAGATCGTCTGATGATAAAGCCATTTCCCAATTACAGATATCTTTATTTGTTGATTAGTTACGTGGTTTTTAGTGAAGTGCGATTTTTTCGTTTGTTGGATTTCAGAATGAATGATCTAATGGAGCAACGACTTTCTGTAAAATTTTGTGTTAAACTTAGAAAATCTGTGACTAAAAATTTGCTATGCTTAACACGGCTTATGGTGATGTTGCTATGAAGCTTATGGCACGTTTTAAGTGGTCCTCCAGACCCAGAAAAGCTCACCAAGTTTGATCCAATGTCAAGGTGATGCTGAGAGTTTTCTTTGATGCTAAGGATGTTGTTCACCACAAGTACTTTCCCCAAAGCTCCACTGTGAACCAGACTTACTACATTGAAGTTCTGAAACATCTGAGGGACGCCATCCGTCACAAAAGGCCAGAAATGTGGAGGAATGGCAACTGGTTTCTCCATCACGACAATGCTCCAGCCCATTCAGCCCTCAGAACTCGTGAGTTTTTGGCCAAACACTCGATCACTGTTCTTCCCCACTTCCCTACTCACCTGACCTTGCTCCTTGTGACTTTTTCTTGTTCCCAAAACTGAAACACCGTTACAAAATGTTAGTTTTCTTAAATTATTGTTAACTTGAACAGATTGGAACATACTAGTATACATAAACTTTCTTATTAGTTAAAAAAAAGTGTCTGTCTCTGGTGTCACACAGATAAGCGAATGGTTTTGTCCTTTTGCAGGTTTGATTGGTCAACACCGACAGCATTTTCAGCCATCAAAACCAGATTTAACAGTTTTCTTGTGAATTCTCATTATTTATAAAATTTCACTTTTCAGACAAAATAATAGAAAAAAATTTCAACATTATTATATGATTTATTTAGTAGTTAAATATTTACATACAAAATAATGTATATAATAAGTAATTTTGTAATTATAATGAATTAAATTGTTATTGCAACATGACTTATATAATTATGATATGTTATGTAACAGCAAACTGAATGAAATGTTTTAGGGTAAAGAAGATCAGATCGAAAAAGTGTTTTTTCCTTTGAGAAAACCGTTATGCATCGAACCTTCCGTGCATATTTCCGACGTGTTAATTGCAAGAGAAGGTAAGATTAGTTCTCAGACATAAATTAAATTTATTAAATTTTCAAAGATGATAAAGGAAACCTATGGCAATGAATTCAAACCTCTTTGACCTTCCGAGATTGTAGCATTAAGAGAATTGATACTGGACAGAGATTTAAATCCATTGTCAGAAATAATGAATTTGAAAATTTGAATCTTTTTTCTGAAAATTGTAGCTTGGGATGATTCTTTGTATTATAGGGATTAAAGTCTATCTCTATAATTATCTTTTACTATTTTTGATGATTTCTTAAATTTGATTTGCTTGATTTGTCTGTAATAAAACACTTTGATGTATAAATAAAAGAAGCAATTTAAGATTAAGTTGCTTATTTTATTTATATATAAGTTATTCTAGAAGCACAGTGGCCAAATTACAGCTTCCAAGCCACATGTGACTCTTCTATACTCTTACTGCTATTCCCATATATTTATACAATTTCTGTTTACAAACTTGATACATACTTGATTTAAAAGCTTCTTGTCTTGATTGTATTAATGTCTTTTATGTGAGCATGAAATTGCTATAATGGACTTATCATACAGGAAACAGCAAAATAGCATAAAAATTTAAACCTATTTTTATACCATTTCACTGTTTCCTGTAAGTTTTCAGAATTATTATGTAGTGTAATTCACAACTTAACATTGAACAGGCAACTGAAAGCTTAGGATACATTTGTAAAGTCAAAGGAGTTAAATGATTGTAGATCTAGTCAATCAGCCATAAAGTAACAGTAATAACTATATTATGTTTAGTTAAAATACTGTAAATAGATGATACGGTTCTCCATTAAACATTCCAATAGAGGGTGTGATGACCTATGTGATCCTGTGTACAATTCTTATCATGATAAGGTTTGGTCACACTAATTCTAGAATATTTTCAAATTTTTAAGTTACATTAAATTAATTTGTAAATATTATGCTAGAACCTAATGTGTTCTAGCATAATATTTACAAATTAATTAGGAACATGACAAAATATTTTGCTGGAGTTGACTTTTATCTCAAGATTTTTATCTGCTTCAATATGCAAAACTGATTAAAAAATTCCTTCTGGCAGTGACACAATAAAATTATATATTGTTGATAAAACTCCAAAAGTTTATTTTGAAGCTACAAGATAAAGGTTGTGTCTATCGAAAGACCATTACATTTCAGAAGTATGAAAAAGAATGAAGTGGAAAGACACTTTTCATGTTATTTTAGTTTTTTTATTTTTATGGCTTTAATTTATATTTATTGCCTTGGAGTTTATATCAATAAATAATTGAAGAGTCTAGTTTGAGATGATTTTAATATTTAGATGACTACTAATGAAATGTCAAAGATTGCTGTAAAGAAGTTTTGTTCTGAAATTTGTATTCATCATTTGATAAAAATTGCTATTACTTTACATTAGTCCACTTTGCATCTTGAATAATATTATTAATTCATTTTACTGTTTGGTTTTTGGCTCTTGTTAATTATAAAATCATATTTTTCTAAATTATGCTATCCTTTAATCTTCTAATAACAAGGCATAAATCAAAATAAAGTTTATCAATCTTATGTGGGCTTTGTGCTTAAATGAGATATTCATTATCAATGTTTTCAGTCTACACCTAAGACAGTCTTCACTTAGATTTTATCAAGATCAAAACTTTCTGGTACTGGCATTCTAGAATAGAATGTATAGAAGAATGGTTAATGTATTTGAATTCAAGCGTTTTTCTCTTTGAATTTTTCTTAACTATCCAATGGAATGCCATATTACAAGATTAATTTATTAGAATGACAAGGTCAGCTGCAACATATAAGAAAAACAATTCTCAAGAGCATGGCAGGCCATATTCTGCTCATCATTGTAATAGGCAATGCATTGTGAATAGACAGACTGAATAGATGCACCCATTGGATATTTAGGAAAAATTCAAAAAGAAAAACGTTTGAATTTGAATACATCGTAGATTCTTCTATACATTTTAAACTAGAACTCCAGTACCAGAAAGATTCGATTTTGGTAAAATCTGAAGAAGATCTTAGGTGTAGACTGAAAACATTAGTAATGAATTTCTCACTTACATGCAAAGCCTATAAGATTGATGAAGTCTATCCTTGTTAATAAATTACAAAATAATATGAAAGAAGATACATAAAAGATGCTATATTGTTATAAATCATTCTGTATGAAACTGTTTGTAGTTCATTCTTGTAGCAACAGCTTCTCATACAGATGCTTAATAGGAAATTAGTAGAAGACTTTGGAGCCGAATAATAGTCTTTGGCTACAATACATGGCAGTTGGTATCGTCTTCAAATAGATACTTTTAAAAAATTTGTACTTGCAAGTTCATAACCTCATTCAGTCGGTAATAAAGAAGATAGAAATTAGGCTAATTAATTGGAATATTCTAAACATTAATACATTCATATCTATTAATTTGGAACTATTAGATTATAAATCTTTGAATATTTCTGTTTATAATAAATGAAGAAATTTTTTAAGTTATATATAATAAATTTTCTTTTATTAACAATATAGATTGTACCACAATTCAGAAGACGAGTTCTACAGAAGTTACGAAGAATGCAAAGAATCAGGTTTACAAGCACATGATAGGTTTTGTAAGTAAATGACTGTTATATTTTTTTAAAAGAGAATACGGAGTGTTTCCCTCAAAATCCCTAGTTTTATGGATTAATTTTGGGAAATGTGAGTGTAGTATTGTAGACAATAGAAATTGAAAGTGCATCTGAAAAAGTTAGTTACTGTATTAAATCTGTGCATTTTTACATATATATCTGGTCTATATTTAATTTTAGTCCAGGTCTGAGCCATCATGTTAGAAATCATGCTCTTGAACATGGGACTCTCACAACTAACACTTCTGTAGCATACACACAATCCTTGACTTGCCCATAAAGAAGAAGTTAAAAGAGATGACAACGGGTCATTTGGCAGATCAAGAAATGGGGCCCAGTAATCTAGACCATGTGGTAATGGAAATCCAAATTGGTGCAATGTGGCAATGGCGGCCCTTTTGAGCATACACGCACGAAACTTCGAATATTGACCAACATTCTCCAACCCATCATTTTATTCACATATTTGAACAAATGGATTTTACAGAACAGTTTAAAACTAGGGGCATTTGAAGATAACACCCTGTACAATACAATAAGAAAGATTTAAAATTATGTATTTATCATACGTAAGATGCTCAAAATGCAATATTGCTGTATTAAAAGAAGGTAATAAAAAATTCAATATTTTACGGAACAAATCATTAATAATGAGTCATTCATAATAAATGAAAACAAATTAACAATTCTGATGAATATACAATGAAACTAACAGCCTATTTTAAACAATTTGCACTTTAAACATTTGAAATTTGTTTAAGAAACAAAAATAGAAATTTTGTAACTTTGTTAGAAATTTTAATCAAACAAATTTGTATAGTACATGCAAATGTGATAAAAGAATGTAAGTAAAATTAAGTAATGCAACTTTTTGTTTTGAAAATATTAAACAAAAACTTTACTATAGAAGTTCTTTTGCTATGTAATATCTTTGGGAACCATAAAAAAGAGTATTCTCTTATAAAATAGCAAAAGTGCTTGAATGATGTCACTTTTGTATTTGTTTTATTTTAATATCAGAAGATAACTTAATTACTGTACTTTGAAATTCTAATTTATAATGTGTTGATTCCCTTTTAGAACTCAAAAATACTTTAATCAATTAGTTATTTTTATTATTTAAAAATTTTTTAAAATAAAAAAAAAACACTGAACCTTGTTATATTTTGCAGACTGTGTTGAGAGTAGAAATTAATTAATTCATTACATAACTTGGATGGTTTTGCTCTTTCCATTCTGTGGACACTAATACCTAACACAGATTCGGCCACTATACAAATTAGGAATATCTTGTATGAACCCTCCATGGTTCTCATCTGATTACAAGCTTTATCCTGGTATGGTGTATGTATTTTTATATATATAAGGTGTGTGTGTGTAACATATATATACAAAGACACACACATACATACAATGTCAGAATAAAGTTTGTTGTCAACTGAAGCCATGAGGGGCCCATAGATATAAGACATTTTGTAGCTATTTTAATTAATATCTTTTGAAACATTTAGAAGAAAAAAAAACTGATCCACATTGGGATTTAAATTCATAACTCATAGATTGAGCAGACAGTAGTTGATCATTTACTTGATTAAGATGATTTGGATTATATATTTAAAATTATTTTATTATTATCAATTAATTAAGTTACAGATTTTATTAGGGGGATACTTATATAACAAACGAACTGGATAAATATACTAATAATAAAACACACCTTTAATAATCCAGCTAATAAAAATTAATAATATAATAACGTTTTCGACCGTTTCTTAACGATCTTCTTCAGTTACCATAACATAGAATAAAATCGAACACAAAAAGAACGTAAATATGAAATTAAAATATAAATAACAGAAAAGTAGATAAAATAAATGAAAAATAAAAATTAATTCGAAAAAATGCCCCTTAATAAATAAAAATAAATAAAGACATTAATTCTTGTAAAAAGATCGCCAAGCGGTAGGTAAAGAGTCCGCATCTCTATGGTTGATGCATCCCGTTTTCTTGTGTGCTTTAAAGATCTCTAATTTCTCCAGATATTTCATTGTATGTAAATTTGTCGTTGGTTTAATAATTTCCGCCCGATCCCAATGGACTTGGATGTCGTGTTGCGTTGCGTAAGACGATAGCACGGTGTTATCAATTTTCTTATTAATCGTATATTTATGTTCCTTGATACGTTGTTGTAATTTGCGCATTGTTGCGCCTACATAGACAAGATCCGAATTAAAACGCTGATCGTGTAATGGTATAGAGTAGATTCCCGATGCCGATTTCCAGTCATAATGCTTCTTATCGTTTCTTAATAGCTTGAAAACTGTAGGATTGCGTCGATATACTATACTGAAATCATTAGTCTTGGCCGTTTCTTTATGTATTTGTCTTAAAAACGGGATATAATTTAAAACCATCCTTTGTCTACCGTCTACTGTGGGATGCTGTTGTTTAGTTGTTTGGAAGGATGTAATAAGATTCTTTATGATTTTCTTTTGGTATCCTTGTTGTTCCGCAATCTTTAGAATGTAGTTTAGCTCCGCCATTGTGTCTTTTATGCTAGAACAATGTGTATAAGCCCTTTTTATCCAGGACCTAAAGGCCGCCAATTTGATGTGATGCGGATCGATTGAATTATGCGGAATTAAAGTGGGTTGAAAGCACGGTTTTCTGTATATGCCGGTCCTGATTTCTCCCTGTCTGCAAGCGATGGAAATGTCCAAAAAATTTACAGTATCATCACTCTCCTGGTCCACTTGTAGTAATAAACCGTAAGGGTTATTATTGATCCTATCCAAAAATTGCTGTAGGTTAGGTTTTCGTTGCCACAAGATGAATATATCGTCGACGTATCTGGCGTACAAAATGATAAGGTGTTGGAATTCGGGTAGAATTTTGTTTTCGAGATGCCGTAAGACCAACTCACATAGAATAGCCGAAGTGGGACTACCCATCGGTACGCCTCTTCCCTGCAAATATAATTCGTTCTCAAACTCAAAAAACGATGTATAACACACCAGGTGTGCGAGTTCTAGTATTTGATTGTGATGACGTGTTGCATTTTCAACATTGGCAAATAAAAAATCTCTTAATGCGCAGAAACAAGGAGACAATTTTATCGATGGATACATCGACTTAAAGTCCAAGACCGTCATATATTCATCGTCCATTAAAGAAATGTTTTTGAGATCTTCTATTAGTTGTAGTGAGTTGTTAATCGAGAATGGATGGCGATGAGCTTTAGATTGAAAAAATTTGACCAGTTGTTTTTCTATTAAGAATGTTGGAGAGTTACATTTCTCTATTACAGGGCGTATTTGGTATCCCGGTTTGTGTGTTTTGGCGAAAGCAAATATTCTCGGTTCTCTTGGTGCACGGACGATGGAGTTTTGCATATGTAAGAGCCGTGCTAAAGGAGTGGACGTGAACCTTTTGACCCTTTGCTGTAGGGTTTCTAAAAAATGGACGGGTGCAGGTTGACATTCAGTGCTTGCAATATATTCACGTAATTTCCCGTTGTAAGTTGATCGTATTAGCAATACCACCCCTTTCGATTTATCGGCCTTCATTAGGACTATGTTGTTCTGTTGTAACCAATTTTTTAGAAACCCTACAGCAAAGGGTCAAAAGGTTCACGTCCACTCCTTTAGCACGGCTCTTACATATGCAAAACTCCATCGTCCGTGCACCAAGAGAACCGAGAATATTTGCTTTCGCCAAAACACACAAACCGGGATACCAAATACGCCCTGTAATAGAGAAATGTAACTCTCCAACATTCTTAATAGAAAAACAACTGGTCAAATTTTTTCAATCTAAAGCTCATCGCCATCCATTCTCGATTAACAACTCACTACAACTAATAGAAGATCTCAAAAACATTTCTTTAATGGACGATGAATATATGACGGTCTTGGACTTTAAGTCGATGTATCCATCGATAAAATTGTCTCCTTGTTTCTGCGCATTAAGAGATTTTTTATTTGCCAATGTTGAAAATGCAACACGTCATCACAATCAAATACTAGAACTCGCACACCTGGTGTGTTATACATCGTTTTTTGAGTTTGAGAACGAATTATATTTGCAGGGAAGAGGCGTACCGATGGGTAGTCCCACTTCGGCTATTCTATGTGAGTTGGTCTTACGGCATCTCGAAAACAAAATTCTACCCGAATTCCAACACCTTATCATTTTGTACGCCAGATACGTCGACGATATATTCATCTTGTGGCAACGAAAACCTAACCTACAGCAATTTTTGGATAGGATCAATAATAACCCTTACGGTTTATTACTACAAGTGGACCAGGAGAGTGATGATACTGTAAATTTTTTGGACATTTCCATCGCTTGCAGACAGGGAGAAATCAGGACCGGCATATACAGAAAACCGTGCTTTCAACCCACTTTAATTCCGCATAATTCAATCGATCCGCATCACATCAAATTGGCGGCCTTTAGGTCCTGGATAAAAAGGGCTTATACACATTGTTCTAGCATAAAAGACACAATGGCGGAGCTAAACTACATTCTAAAGATTGCGGAACAACAAGGATACCAAAAGGAAATCATAAAGAATCTTATTACATCCTTCCAAACAACTAAACAACAGCATCCCACAGTAGACGGTAGACAAAGGATGGTTTTAAATTATATCCCGTTTTTAAGACAAATACATAAAGAAACGGCCAAGACTAATGATTTCAGTATAGTATATCGACGCAATCCTACAGTTTTCAAGCTATTAAGAAACGATAAGAAGCATTATGACTGGAAATCGGCATCGGGAATCTACTCTATACCATTACACGATCAGCGTTTTAATTCGGATCTTGTCTATGTAGGCGCAACAATGCGCAAATTACAACAACGTATCAAGGAACATAAATATACGATTAATAAGAAAATTGATAACACCGTGCTATCGTCTTACGCAACGCAACACGACATCCAAGTCCATTGGGATCGGGCGGAAATTATTAAACCAACGACAAATTTACATACAATGAAATATCTGGAGAAATTAGAGATCTTTAAAGCACACAAGAAAACGGGATGCATCAACCATAGAGATGCGGACTCTTTACCTACCGCTTGGCGATCTTTTTACAAGAATTAATGTCTTTATTTATTTTTATTTATTAAGGGGCATTTTTTCGAATTAATTTTTATTTTTCATTTATTTTATCTACTTTTCTGTTATTTATATTTTAATTTCATATTTACGTTCTTTTTGTGTTCGATTTTATTCTATGTTATGGTAACTGAAGAAGATCGTTAAGAAACGGTCGAAAACGTTATTATATTATTAATTTTTATTAGCTGGATTATTAAAGGTGTGTTTTATTATTAGTTTATTAGGGGGGTTTTCTCCCTGGCTTGCTTCACTTGTATGCCTCCACAAATTCAATCATTCAAAAATTTTATAACATTTCATTGATTCTTGATGTTACCATTTCTATCACAGTGATTTTAAGCAAAGTATTTTATATACAGTCGACCCCCTATAACGCGGTAGATAGTTCCACTTTATAAGAATTTCATGTAGGAATCCTTAAATATATGAGCCAATTTCAGCCGTAGTCTGTAAACTGCACACGTCGGCATGTGTGCAGTTTACGGACTACGGCTGTTTGAAAGGTTTTCTTCCATAAAATTAATCGATTCTAGACTAATTTGACTCAACATTTCCAAAACACGTATAATTTATTGGGAATAATCCGTATAAACTATGCTATAAACAAAAAATTGCCGAGTGTGCATGTTCAACAATGCCATTGCTTAAGCTTGTTTTCATTGCAGAGTGGTGCACTAAATGGCAGGTGCGTTTTCTGATAAGTTATTTTTCTGCGAAAAATTCATTGAACTTTGGAGACATCATTAATAGAATTAATTTTTATGGTTGTTGAATAAGAAATGTTTTTTTCACAAGAAATATATAAAATTACAGTACTGTATTAGACTTACAGTACCTAGTTTATATACTGTACAGACGATAGAAAACTCAACTTACCTGCCTAAACTCTCCGTAGCGTGTAAGTAGTTTGGCTGCTCGTCCACTATTGGTCCAGATTCGATCAATCCTGTCGTGGCACGAGTCGGCGATGTCGTTTTACTGCATTTTACAAGTCTCTTTTAGCGTCTTTATACGAATACAGTCGCAATTTTTTCGCCACGATATTCGAATTCGCATTATATGAACCCGCATTATAGGGGGGTCGACTGTACTGTATAAGTGTTGATGTAGAAAAAATTTAAGATCATATATAAATCATTTCTAGATGTAAATATTTTTCCTCTTCTAATTCTCTTTGCTCTTAAGGCACTAAGAAGTTTGTCATATGTTTAGTCAGACCTACATGATGGCATTGAAAGACGAGACCAGCATTTGAGTCTGACTTCCTAGTACTGAAGGTTTGACTTCAGACCTGAACTTGGGTCTGGAGCCTTTTTGACCTCGGCCATCCAAATTTACTATTGGTAGAATTGACTCACTTTATTTGGGATTTGGATAAAAAAAGTTTATAAAAGTGTTATCACTTTAAAATAGATTATTTTTTTTTTTAACATAGACTCAGTTCAGTTTCAATTTGAGTAGCCAAACTTTTTTAATGTTTAATTGCCTGTGATATTGAGCATATCATTTTGTCATAACACTACCCTACATATTATAATAGATTCTTATTTTTATTGCAATTCTTAAATCTCACAACTTAACAAATTCTTACTTTGAAGATTCTAATTAGTTTACAGAAAGTTGCTATTAAACAAACCATTGTAATCCCTCAAATTTAGTGCCTGAGCATAAAACAAATCAACAAATGTTCTAGTTGGTTGTAAATTTGTACCCGACTAATGGGCCGTAAACTGAAATTGTCAGTGATAAAAAATATTGCCATTTAAATTGGTCATTCATAAATCATGATGAAAAGTTTACAGTTATAAAACTGTGTTGTCATAAAGTTGGGCCTACTACATATAAACTGCAATATATCTTGCTGAATCAGAATAATTTGTTCAGCTTCTTACAAATTACATATCATTACATTTATTTTACCATAAACTAAGATAAATAAATACATTAAAATAGGTACCAGACAGAGGAGGAAGACCCGAAGAACAGTATGCTGCCAGAGAGATGCCTAATTGGAAGAAAAGAACCGAAGGCCCGGCAGGAGGTATGTTTTTGTTACTTTGTATTAGAAATTGCATTCCTGTAAAGAAAACGATTGCTTAATATGCACAAGAATTAATCAGAAAGTATATTTGTAGTAGCCATAAATCAAGAGAAAGATTTTAGTAGAATAAATTGAAATATAAATATTCAATAATCTGATTTTCAATTAGGGCAAAACAATCTGCTGGATTATAATTAAATCTTAGGTAATTTTGCCTAGAGATAAGTGTTAGTCACTATCTCTGATAAATTTTATAGTCTGTTACAAATTGTGTCATGAATTAACTGCATATGGAAATGTATAGCATTTCTGTGCATTTTCAACTATTGTGGATATTTATTTTTGAACTATTTATGGCTATTCACAGCCAAGATTTTTCAGTATGCCTACACAAATCACATTACTCCTCATACTTCTACACAAAATAATGTTTCAAGTGGTCAGCATGTTAGCGTTACAGTTTTACTTATTCCGCACGTGTCCCAAATCATGTGACTACAAACATGAGATTTCCTGCACATATCAGCATATTTGAAATTTCAATGATTTTAGCACCTTGAGTAGTAGATCTTACTTTCTGATTCCTCTGTGCATTATTGATACAATAGAATTGTGGCTTTTCAGAACCTCTATTTAGATATTTACCATTGTTAAATGTTTCATTGCACAAAACAGAGACTGCATTCTCGTATCTCATGCCATAATGTATGAGTTTGAGATTTTGGATAATCAAGATTCTAATGTGACATTAAAAATTGTTAGATACAAAATATTAATGATTTATTACTTGTTCTAGATAGGGGAAGAGGCGGCAGAAGAGGCGCATGGTCTGCCAAAGGAGGAAAGTTTGGAAAAAACAAGAGGCATGCATTTGATGCCGCCGGATCTTACGGAAATTAAATTATATATTTTATACACTTAATGAATTTGACTTCATATACTTGCTACATACAAATATTAAGTATGTACAGTACTTAACATATTAAAATATAAAGAAAACATTTTAATATGTAAGTATTTTTTAAAATTAATTTGTTAAGTAAACATATTTAAATTATTAGTTTTTTCATTACAAATTTCATTTAAATAATCATAAGTTGTCAGAGTGATAAATCTGTACAATTAAATGATTAATTTAAAAAATATCAGTCGGTAAACATGTCTGTAATTTTGTAATGTAAATTTATATTAATTTAATTCATTGATAAATACTTCCAAAGAAAATAATAAACCCAAAATATATGATTTTATATTTGTTCGATAACAGAATTATTCTAATGATCAGTAAAACAACATATCCAGACTATCAAAACTGTCATTTATGCTGATTCTAAATATATTTAGATGTAAATGAGTTTTACATTAATTGTAAATTGTTTTACATCAAAATTTATGAAAATGTAATTCTTAAAATTATATTTAATTCAAATTTTTAAAGCAATTTTGATAGCAAACACTGAATTACTAGACATAATGCTTTTTTATAGTTTTGAAATTTGCTTCACCCAAATTATGTAAATTTGACATTCTACATTAAGAATCACATTTCAGTAGTTAAACAATGATTAAATATACCCAAAAGTTACAAAACATCTTCCTTAATGTCTTAACCATTTTTTAAATGGATTCTTCTAGTGTAAGATAGTTGACAGGTGACAGATTTGACTTGGCAATTATCTTGATTTCATACTGCTGTATCACCATTTTTATTGTTTATTTTGAAGTATACCCATGAAATTTTTCATCCAGAATAAATCTCAAGAATTTGACAAATGCAAATAATATACTTTATGATTGTTCCTTGTCAACAAAGATGATAAATTTCACATAGACAGCTTTAGAGAAATGTCCGACCGATAGCAATGCTCTGATTTTATGTCAAATGATTTTTGTGTCTTAATTATATTTTTATGTAAATGTTTTTGAAAGGAAAGAACTTTAACTTATAAATTTTTGTCATTCAAAAGGTCATGTAAAGATCTTTAATAAAAAAAATAAAAATAATTATAATTGTTTTTTTATGGTTATTAATAAATTTTAAATCCTTATAGTTTACAAACCTGGATCCTAAACAAATTAAATAACATCTTTTAACTCACAAAAGTTTTGAATACTTGGCTTATTTTCTGACTGATTGTATAACCTAGATTTCCATTAGAACTAAGGGAGGTCTAGGTTAGACAATAACTCTTGTTTTTATGACATTGCTTCCTGAAAGCTTGCCATTAAGCATGTCATGAGCTTTCATAGTAACCAAGGACTTGTCATGAATTTTTTAAATGATTCAAAGTTTGGATTTCTACAGGAAAAATTAAAAAAATTAGAACAGAGGGTTTGAGAATGGAGAGACATTGAAAACTCCACATATGTGAACAAAGATTGTCTGTTCTGAAAAACTAACTGGTGTCAGTCATCCTGATATAATACAATAGATTCATCCAACTACAGTATATTGAGAAATACCACATTAACATAAAAAATATATATTGAGGAAAAAGAATTTTGTATAATCTGAACAGGATCGGGTTGTAATTAGTTTGAGTTAATAAGGTTCTACTTTATATAAACACTACATTTCATGAATTTCCATGAATTTGTGATTGACTTAATATAGTGCTGAACCAAATATCTGGCTTCTAGAAATCTGAAATTACCAGAAAACTTTGGTTTTGAATTTGGTGAGCCACACAGCTTCTTTATTTTAGTTTCCATGGTATATGCATTGCAAGATTCCAGTTTCAGTGCAACTGCTGGTGTACAGTATGTTAAAAACAATTTCGTTCTTTACTTTCCATTGTTAATTTTATATTTTAAGTATAAATTTAGCTTGTGTTCAGAAAACCAGTCCCAAGCTTGCCAACTGTTTGGTCCAGTATTGCATTTGAAGTTGAAATATATGAGTTCTTTCAGCTTCTGTTTATGATGCAAATAGAACTTGAAAAGGAGCATTTTTCTGGTTTCTACTTTGAATAATGAGTTTATTTTACACAATAATTTATGGTTATATAAATATGATCAAATTGAAGTTCACAAAGAACCTAGAAGAATTACTAGTCTTATTCTAAATTCTCAACTTCTAAAAGATTTTGATTTTCTAGAACAATGTTTCTCAATTGTTGCAAGTTTATAATGAGGACTGAATACTTTGTTTCTGCAATTACATATTCTTTCTATTATTTTATATCGGAGAGAAAAATCATACAAAATTAGAGTAAAATATCCAAATCTTGGGTCCTAGTCACAACTGTTTTCGATAACACCAAAGTTACAATAACCATTAGTAACTGGTAGCTCACATTTCATATTTGAACCTCAAACAGCATGTTACAACCTAAGAGATTAACATACAATATATTTATTCATGGTATGATTTTGAGCATGCCATGCAAACCTCTTGTTGCTATTGGATGCTGAAATTACAGTATTATTGAAAGTAATTCACTAGACTCCCCGGTCCTTTACATCAGAATAGGAAGAGACAGGAAAATAATGCTAGTCTACAAACTTAGTTTAGTCAGAAAGAGAGAAATTTGAGCAAAATTAGGGGGTAAAACTATCCCTGATATTTGAGTCCCTCAATTATGAAGTTTAATGTCATCATCATCATCATCCTCGTCATCGTATCAAACCTCTTCCGTGATATGAGAGATTTGATGATGATAATCCAGAGATTCAGATGATATTTTAATGAAGAACCACGAGAACAGATGGGAAATCAATGATATAACTAGAATATTCTTGTGCTGTAGACATTTTCTAGATTATATTGTCACATTTAGAGAAATTTGCAGAATTCCTATCTACAGAAATACTGTTCATCTTATATTTTGCTTATTTATTGCTTGCTTTCATCTCCCCAACAAAGAAATGGGGATTCCAGTTTTACTAAATTTCTAATAAAATATTATAAGAAAATTATATTTTCTGGATTAATTGCTTTCCTCGGCAATTTATTTAGTGTTCTACTTTGTTGTAAAAGTGATAAACTGTGTGCCAAATTAATTTACAACCTTTTGATCATGTATAATCTGTAGGAGAGTAATTTAAGACTTCTTCCTGCCTGAGGAACTATTTTTAGTGAATGTTACATACCAAAAAAAAATGTGCTAAGTTCTTTTTTAATTTTAATGTAATTATAGAAAATTCTTATTTAAAAAGGAAAAAAGAGATTTTTTTGAAAGTGAAAATAGTTGGAAAGAATCATACTTAAAAACCCTCATAACACGATTAATTTACTGATTTATTCTAAAAAAAAATCAGTTTTTATCCATAAAAGTTTAGTTTCTTACTACAAAAATCTTTTAATTTTTCTTAATATTCCTGAGAAAGGGAGAAATTTACATCCTCACTCTGAAGAATCCCAGGTTCGAATTCATATTGAAGGTTGAGTCTTCACCATGAATGATTAGTTCCTCTCCTTCACCTACCAATCATATAATGGATCTGTCCCGTCCATAATGAGCAATAAAACAAGGGCCTTTACAGAAGATAAGAAAATTAAACAGGAATATTTCTACGAATTTTAATGGGCATAAGTTAAGAATTGTGCTACACGTGAGATTATAGCAGAAGTGGGACTTCTCAGAGTCCAAGAGACTACATAGACACTGAGGGCATCAACAGTCTATGTAGTCTCTTGGACTCTGAGAAGAGACCAAGAGACTACTTAGTTCTGACAACAGAATTAAAAATTATGTTTGAATGTAATGGAATGACTAATTTGTATCATGTTTTTTAGGCCTGGGCCAAGTAGCCTCGCTGATTCTCTGTGATAGAGCACGAGTGCAAATGTCAAGCAAGTTCAGATTAGAATCATCAGGTAAATTTGAAAAATAATACCAAATTTAATCCATCATTTAAAAAGCCAAAGCAGAAATTGTCAACGTTTTAATGTGGAAGTCTTCACGTCAAATAGAAGTTTGACGTGAAGAAACGTTGAAAATCGTAAAATTTATCTTTACAGGATAGATCTAATACCAGGTTTTCCACATTAGTTATATTCAATATTGCGCGACGGTTCTGTAGATTGATTTCCCGTGTTCTAATCTATAATATTTATTTGTTGTTTATGCAATACCTAGCAGCTGTTAATTACGAAATACACTAGGAATATATATTTCTCGCGCTACGAGAAGAACGAAGCACTCTTCGTTTGTATATTATGAGAAGTTGTCACGTAGTGCAAAGCGATGAATCCATGTTGGAGAATTGTTACGCATTGCACAAAGAACGAATCACTAATTTAGAACCATATACAAGGAATCAACCTATAAAACTCACGCAATATGAAAAACCGATCTATAAAGTGTATTGTATGAAAATTCTATAATATCGATTCGTTTCACGTGCAATACATAGCAACTCTAACATTGATTCATTCCTGTGTACCGCGTGACAGCGCTAATTTCTAGGGTATCTTATGACATCATTCCAAAATTAACAATTAGTTAAGTGTCTTTAATATCAAAAATTTTGCACACGGAGCGATATCTGATTCATGTTCAAATAATATTTTTATGGTTAATTATTTCAGCTCTCTAGCAATGCATTCGCAGAAGTATTTCCTGTTTTCTTGGGAAGTAGCCCAATAGAGAGAACAATACCGCTTCTGCATCAAAACCAAACAGATTACATTTCACAATTAATTATTTATGGAAATTATTTATAAAATCTAACATTAGACGACATATTTTTGATTAAGTTACCATTAAAAATGTGCTTTTAGATAAAATTTTACCAATTGCAAAGAAAGTAGTGAATTTATAGAAGGGTTTGCTGAATTTTTATATTTCTAGACGTGTGTTTTTTTATATTTATTACATACATTTTTAAAATATCTAAAAACACCACGTGACGAACCGGCCATGAAAAGGGGAGTTTTATTTCTAGAAGTGTCAGACGATCTGGAAAAAAGCCAATACTTTCAGTCAAAATGTCCCAATTCTTTGTTAGAAAATTGTAAATGAGAAGAATTTTTTTCGGAATTGCTGATGTTGACATTGTCTAGAAAAATTTATTAGAGGCTCGTCTCTATCCGGAATTGGCTAGAGTCTAGATTTTCATCATTAAGATTGCTTTTCAATATTGAAATAAAAAACAAATCACCATAATTTTGGCATTAAATTTCTTTAATTCTTTTTTTCAAGTTATTAAATGCTTTGTCGTAGAATTAAAGCGTATCTTTTGGAAATTAATGCTCTTAAAGATGGGTTCTCACCTTCCATATTTAATTGGACGACTTGAATTTTTTTTCTTTTTTTTGAATTTTTTAGAGCTTAACGTTTAAATTATCCGAAATATTAATTAAGTAGTAATTTTTGTAAGTAATAAGCTTACACAATGATACAAAATCGACTTTCTAATTATCTAAGAGGAGTTTTTGGAAGGGACACTTGCCAAATTCAAAAACTATCTTTGGTTTCTGTTAAAAAAGGGAAGTTATATAATTTAGACAAATTTAAATGAGTGAAATTTTACGTTTTCTTAAACTTAAAATCATTTTATTCGTTCCCAAAATCTCGTGATGGCTTCCTCGTAGCTCTCAAGAAGTACACAATGTTGCAAAACACACGAACTAACAAGAAAGCCGAGTATTGCTGTCATAAAATATCCAGCAGTGAAGTAAATCTATAGGATTGTCACGCGGTTATAACAGCAATTACTATTGGAGTACTGTTACAAAATACAAGGAATGGAAAGCTACAACGGGTGCTAATTGATATCGCGCTGTTACGAAATACACCAGCGCTCAAGAATGCCGTCACGATATACAAGAGGAGTACAATCTTCGGGTATAGGAAAAGGTAAAGAATATTACAAAGTCGTCACGAAATACTTGAGAATTAACTGATACTGGAGCGGTGTCTTAGGATATGAAAATAGTTAATCAATTTGAATGTGTTATCGCGAAATATAAGAAGAGTTAGTAATGATATAAAGCTGTCACGAACTTAAGCTAAGTATTAACGAATGTTATAAAGTTATCGGGAAATTAAAGAGGAACGCTTTCACGAAATACACAAGTTTATTATTGTTTTCTAATAGGCCATCACGAGAAACAGGAAGAACTAAATAATATTGGAGCCTTCACCAAGTACTTTACAGTTGGTGTCGACTGCTGCTATGCTAAACAAATTATCAACAGGTAAGGGACACTTCACGAATTGGCGAGTTAACGGGACTTTCACGAAATACGTAAGGAACTAGGAATTGCAGCAACCGTCACGAACTTACGAGTGAATGTAATGCGAGCGAGGTGTAAACAGAAATCGTTTCAACCTACAACTATTGGTTCTAAATATGTCTGGTGATTTCACGATCGAAACATTTCTTCACTTTTCCGTTTGTTTCCACCTCGACTGCAGCCGAGTATAATGCGAATATTCAACAATTATCTACTCGATTTCTGAAATATTTTGGATTATTTCGCGCGAATTTCGACATGAAAATGTGAGTAATTTTCATTTTCGTCTTCGTATCGTTTTCGCTTTCGCTTTTAAAATTTAAATTTCGTGTAAAAATACTTCTCCAGACGTTAAAAAAGTAGTTTTTATGCTCGATTTGTCGGTCGGTTCGAATGTCTGTCTGTGAAATTTCTCGGAAACTAAGAGAAGGTAGAATAGAAACTGAAATTTTTTCATATTCTCTTCGTTTGTTTGTTCTACATATTTCAGAAAAACTAATCGAACTTACATTTATACATTATTATACATGTTCCGTGTGTAAAATAATCGTAATTTATCTTCTCTATTCGGTAAACAATCGGTTTCTTCCTTTATAAAAAGATCCACTTCATCGTAATTAATTTATGAAAGAAGATAATACTGCACCCGTCGTCATCATCGTTACCACCATCCGATAGGGATGGAAAGAATAACGTATTATCACAATAATAAAAGGTAGTATTGTATACAAATATCCCCGGCCTTTCTACTCCGTTTTTGCGTGTATATTTTTATTTCATACTTGCAGTTGTATATCCTTCACATTTCTGTATCTATTATTCAAATTGTGTACATAAAATTATTGTATATCCTATAAATATCGTGTGTATCTGTATACCTTAACTATATATAGCCCTATCAAATATTGGATATAACAGATAAATATTCTACAATTTGAAAATTTATATAATCAAATTATATCTTGTATATCCTTAAATTTATACGTTTATTAATTGATATATATATCCCAAAACTTATGCTGTATATCAAATGTGTACTGTATACACGTGTAAGCTGTAATATAGGATAAAATATACTAGAGAATAATATATTATTCGCTAGGATTGTAGCCTTTTCGTGCTGTATATATTGTATCCTAAACTATATTTTATCCCGAAATATTCCGTATATCCTGAATCGGATCCTATCTTTACTGTATACACTATATACTGAATAATACGCTGTATATCCTACATCCTCCGATATTTTAAGTATCCTGAATTGTATGGTGCCTGTGCTGTATATACTGCATCCTAAATTATCTTTTGTATATCCTGTATCCTGAAATATCTTGTATATCTTCAAACTTAATGATATTCTGTACATGCCGAAACTTGTATACTGTAGTCTGTATTTATTAAACATTGCATTCTTAGATCATGGACTTTTTTATACGGGTATTATATGTCGTGTATGTCCTGAAAAATCGATAAATTTCGTAATTTACTGTTTAATGGCTCCCGAGATTCATGTTTAACTGTAGAGCTTCCGTGCGTCGCAAGAAAAATGAGATCGCAAATAGAAAAAAAGAAGTGATTTATGTATAAAATTATAATTTTTATCTGCACGTATATAATTAATTTAATATTATTAATGAAAATACGATTGATTATAATTAAAAGTATTTTTATTTATAATTTCGCTTTTTTTTTTTTTTGTCGTTTATTACCGAAAGATGGTGCCACAGTTACGCGAATTATGAGTCATCGATGATTAGGATAGGAAATTATATTTAAAGTTTACTGTATATAATAAATATTATTTTCTAAAAAAATTTTAAAGATAATTACTCTTTAAAATGTGAAAAATTAAATTAATTTATAACTTACTTTATACAAAATTAAATTTGAGACACATTTCATCATCATTAGAGAAATACAAAAATATTCCTTTCAAATCATAAAATATTTTGAGTATATTATTAATATTCTAAATATAAAGAAACATTCAAAAAATGTAAATAAGCAAGAAAAAATTTGAAATAATTTAAAATATATATATTTTTCACTATAAGTTATATCCGCAACATCCCACTAGGGGGCGAGTGGGATGCAGCCGACAATCGAGGTTTATGGGAAAATTGGGAGTGCAGCTTCCAAGATGGCGGCCGGAGCTGCGAGTTAGGATCTACGAACATGCCGTTGGTAAGACGTTCTTCTCGTAAATATTAATCGGAAGTAAACCGTATTATCAAACACACGGCCAGGGGATATAACAGAAAGATTCAATTCTCTTAATTTAGAAGATTTTCTGTTTTAAGTGTAGGCGGAAATCGATGAAAGTTATCGTCTGGTTTCGTGCATTACAGTGATGTCGTCTTTACAGGGGACGGTGTTAATTTTCAGGTGTTATCGAACAATCTGTCGACTGATATATATATAATAATGGCGTGGAAATTTATCGAATATATTAAGGATAATTAAAATTAATTTGTAATAATTGTTATTGGATTGCATGACGGATGGGCATAAGAATTTTCTGCATTGCAGCATTGACAACTATATGGAAAAGTTGTTCTTGCTGAAAAGTTCTTACATTTTCATTCAAGGTGGTTAAGTTTACGTTAATTTAACACATAGATTATTCACTTTATTACATTTTATCATCAATACATTATTGGAAAAGGTAAAGGTTCATTCACATTTTATTTATTTATTTTTTTTGTAATTAAAGCTACATCATAACTTATAGAAGTTGATTTGTATAAAGGAAACAGTATTTAAAGTTTGTAAACTTAATATATTTTGTTCTGATAACAATTGTATTCTTTAATTGGAACAATGTTATATAAACCTTTATAGAAATAGGACGAGTAGCATATTAACTGTTGCTGACACGATTCTGGAGTTTGAGAACTTCTTTTGTATTCTTCTATTAATGTCGTTCCGGCAGATTCCGATGAAAAATTTAGTTTTGGTTATGTATTTCGTACGCAAATATATTTGTTAAAGAAACGTTCGGTACAACGATTGTAAATTATAAGAAAATTCTCGTTTAATTGAGCCGTCCGTAAATATTTAAACCGGATGCTTGTGAATGCGGAGTCGTCTTCGGGAGTACAAATTTTTCAAAAAAAGTTTTGTTTTTAGTTTTACAGATTTCTATATTACTTAAAAATATGAAAAACTGGATGGATGAACTAAAATTTGAAATTCTAACCTTTAATATCTGATATAAATTTAGAAATATCTTCGGCTACTTTTAGCAGCTGGAGCTGGATTTAAGAGTAAGCTAATCAAGCTGTAGCATAGGGCCTCATTCTATTTATAAAAACAAAGTTTTTATGAATAGATTGAGGCCCATTTACATACTATATTTATAATTACTATATATATTGCACATATTTGATGAGAAATGAAGGGCCTCTTGAAGGGTTGTTAACATAGTCCTACAAGTCTAAATCTGAATGTGTTAGCAATTATCATAATAGTATATCCTGAATTATAATGTACGTACCTTCTATCTTAAAATTTATTTCAAAATATCTAAGTATTTCGGCATTAATATTTTAATTTTTGATTAGTTATAATAGATTATAACAAGATCAATCATTAAAATGAATAATAATGATTATTTAATCATTTTAAATATGAAGATCAAGCTTAAATACTTCTTATCTGTAAAAATATTTGTGGAAAGTAATTCTTGTAATTCATTTGTTTATTTTTAAAAGCTATCCACAAATATTGTTGTTATGAACCAGATTGATGAAGCTTTAAACTAAGTTCAAAGTTACAGATACTTTTAAAGTAGACTTTCTTGGAAACAAAATATACATTTAGAAACCTTACTTAAACTTTATCTTAAAAGATAAAGAATAAATATTTTTAAAATATTTGTTTTATTTTTAATTTGGATGATTATTTAATCATTTCTTTGATAATTTTTTTAAAATTGGAATTAATGTGATGTGATTTAGATTTATAAAGTTTTTAGAAAGATTTAATAGTAAAAAGCATGTAAAATTGCACTACAAATAGTTCTAAATTTTTTTCTTTTATGTTCTATTCTCATGAGTCATCATAATGATTGTTTCCAGACAAGGGCAGTTGATTTTTATTGATAAAACTTTTATAAAAATGCCATTTTAAGCAGTAACATAGTAACTAGTAAAGCTGATATATGTATATGTACTATTAAGTTATTAATAATCTTAAAATAAACTTTTACTGAATTTTTACTTATTTATTACATAAAACTTGAAGCAAATTAAAATAAAAACCATTTTCTTTTGTCCAAGTTTATTGGATAACGAAATTTGTTTCTAGATTTAGTAAATTATTATTTATTTATATAAAGAGAATATGCCACAAGCCAATGCACCAGAAATAACCTTGCAAACATTGCACTTGGAGAGTTAAATATTGTATTTAGGAAATGATTTTTTGGTTTGAAACTTTTGTGACAGAGCCAAAAGAAATTAAAATCATTATTTCTTTCTTTAATTTTAAAAAAATTTATTTAATTATTGTCATATTTATATATTTGTTTCTTAATATTAATGACTCCAGAAGAAAGGCCAAGGTTAGTATAATACAGTAAAAAAAAAGCATAAAATAAGCTTTATTATATGATAAATTATGTGTAATATTCTTTATATAAATTTTTTTAGTGTTAGATCCCATTATTATATGGCATTTCCATATATTTTGTCTGGTCTATAATCCATATTTGGAATATTTTCAGATATTTTTTGCATATTTTTTTTCTTTTTTGGAGTTGTAAATGGTCTAGATTTTTTTGTCCCTGACCCATTTCCAATACTTCCTTGAAATCAAACTCCATTAAAAATTAAACAGAATTGAAAGATTTATTCAAAATTATCATTTGAATAAAATATTTTTCTTTTTTTTATTAATAATAAATTTTTTCCTGTTAAAATTTTAATGGAATATAATTTTCAGATGATTTATAAAGTGAAATAATCTACAAATAGTATTATTGGAATAATTAACTGAAGAGTGATTTGTCAAGCAAGAACTACGATATGCTATTCCTACATTGATAGAAAAAAAGAGAAAATTGGATAAAAATGTTTAAATTATAAAAAAATTCCCTTGGTATAAAATTATTGGTTAAATTTTAATTCTGGATGTTAATAAATTATCATAATTTGATTCATGACCATAGAAAAATTTCTAGCTTAATGAATGTAAACTAAATGATAGTTTGTAATCTTCATAATAACTTAATCTTTCAGGAATTATAATTGTTTACAGTTAAATA